ATATGGTGCACCAGCTCGATGTGGCCCACGAGGAGATATGGATTGTACGTGGGAACGAACGAAGAAAGGGAGCAAGACCTATATATTCAAATGAACAAACAAGAAAAGGACCAAAAAACTGGTATATATAACACCATAGCTCTATTATTTAACTCTGCAAAAAACCAACCCCTCAAAGATCGAACATTGTTTGTTGCTCTTATTCAAAGTCCTAACGCAGGCCTAATTAAAAATTACATGTTAATCCTTAGACTCGTAAGAAACATTAAAACTGACAAATTCACCCCCAAAACATTTTTTGTGGTCTCATCCATTGTCTCGTAACTGCTGTAATCTACTTGAAAAATTCATGGGAAAAATAATAGCAAACTAATCATATAAGCCGGATCTTGTAGAAGAAAATCGAGCGAACTGAAAAATAAATTTTGCCTTCCTCAACCATAAACATGATGATTTTTTCAACCCACCACAAGTAGAGTTATCTTGCCATCCTCCATGCAGTAAGATGCGCTTTCGTCACCCCCGGTGGCAATGTATGCCTTTGTTGACCTGTTTTGACAATAAAGATGAATACGTCTTTCTCCCTCATCAATCGAACCGTTTTTCTCCCTCATCAATTGAATCGCTTTACGGTTCAATGCTTGTCCGTATTCCTTTCAGCGTGTAGCTATTCAAAAAAGTTTCTTTTTGGCGTGTTGCTAGCTTTTCAATGTTCATTTCATTTTCGGACTCATAACAATGAGGAAATGATCGCTTCACTAATTTTACGCCGGATTCAAAAACCTGAAAACATATTCAACCCTCTCCCAGCCTCTTTTTAGATCTCTGTCTCTTCGAAATCAAGAAAATGTAGCATCATTATAAATTTGTCAACTTCGATACAATGACGAGTCATATCCTAGATTGAAGTTTTAAAAGGAGCCACTATGTAATACCTTAATCTAGTTAAAAAAAAAAAAAAGGAAAAAGGAAAAGTCAACATTGTCAAGCCAAAATAATAATAATAATAATAATATATATAAAGATATAATAAATGGGGCAGGCGGTGGTGGATATATATATATATATATAAACCAAACTCAAGTTAATCCATTATCCAACTAAACCAAATCCATTTCACTTACAAAGAGAGAAGCCGAGAGTTGGGAGAAAAGAAAGAGGAAAGAAAGAGGGAAAAAAAAAAAAAAAAAAAAAAAAAGAAGGAAGAAGAAGAAAAAAAAAAAAAAAATTTTTTGTCAACGTATTAGGAATTAAGTGGTCTATATTATTAGGCTTGAATTCCTCAATTTTGAAAGGTAAGTAAAAAGTTACTTATTATCAAGTTATGTTTGATTTTATAGTTGTTAGATTGTTAAATTAAATTCAATTTTATTAAAGGGATTAAGTGTAATAAACTATGAAATTGAGTAAGATGAAAGAAAAACTAGTTTTAGTTATTAAAGAGACTGTAGAAATCGTCCAAACGTGAAATGATTAAATTTGGGTATCGCCTATTTAATTATTGAAATTATTTAAAATAATTAATTATTTATTTAAAAATTATATAGTATTTCAGTCGACGATACTGACATCAGAACAGCTTACCAACCGGGTTGATTTTTCGAACATAGTACCTTGAGTGAAAAAATATAAATATTTTTTAAAGTATTTATAAATTAAGTATATTATAAAAGTATGTGCAATTATGTGAATTATTTGCTCGATTATGTGATTACAATGAAAATTTCTTTTTGTATGATCCATGCAGAATTTCAAGGATTATTTATGGTATGTTTGTGATTTGGTATATGAGACATGAAACATGTGATATTGATATTTGTTTGGTATGTGAGACATGCAATTTTGAGATCGACCAAAAAAGTACCCATGATTATATACTTCTTCTAGTTTATAGAGGGGTCTTGGCCGTGTTCTATCCTACACGGAGGGTTTTGACCTGACATTGGTCTTGATCGTGTACATATAGTTCACAGAGGGGCTTTGACCGTGTTCTAGAATTGATTATGAGAGGTCTTTGAGACCGACTTTTGTTCACTGAGGGGCCAAAGGCCCGTGGCGAAAGTATTTAACTCGAGAGGCGGATTACATATTTCAATCATAGGGTACATTTTTGTAGATTTTTTAGCACGTTTGATGTGATGAGATTATAACATGGTTATCAGCTGATGTTATATCATGATTTTGAGATGATATTTTACGTCCTTGTGTGAATATTTCATTTTTGGTTATAATTACATGATGTTATCTTGTGAATTATTAAATGGTATGAACTCGATTTTCGACATAAATGTAAAATTGAAAAAGTATAATTATTTTCGAACTTCTCCACTCACTGAGCTATCAACTCATATATTTTTTCACGATTTTTCCCATAGGTAGCAATAGATTCTTTTTAGCTGGAAGAGCCTAATGATTTCGGAATGAGAGCCACACGACATATTGAATATTATAATTCATATTGATGAAGCACGAAGTAAATATTTTGGGCCCATCGCATTATATTTTATATAAGCACTTGATTTTGTTGCTTTTTTTGAAATAATTCATAGTCAGCTTTAGTGATAGATTTGACATCTAGTCAGCATCTATTATCGGTGCACGTCACGTTTTACGTCCACTAGGATGATTCGAGACGGGTCGTGTCACACTATCTTGCTTTACATTGTAACACGTGAAAACCATTGCTTAAACGTGAAAACAATATTTAATACATATAAAAGTTTGAGTCACTCTAATTAATAAGGTTAGAGATTTGAAGACGCAAGGATTCAAACACTTTCAGCTAAAGGATGTAAATATAACTATATATACTAGGTACAATTTTTATTTATTTATTTTAAAAACCCTATAGCCACTCTAATTAATAAGGTCAGAGATTTAAAAATGTAAGGGTTCAAACACTCTCAGCTAAAAGATGCAAATATTACTGTATATACTAGCTACAATATATATATATATATATAGGGTAATTGGTGCAAAACGTCCCTACCTTTCAGTTTCATTGTGGAAAACGTCCCTACATTTAATTTTTTGGCATTTTTGCCCTCAAATCAACCTTTCGTTGCGATGAAGGTCCTTCCGTCCAAGTTCCATTCATTTTGTCGTTAATTAAAGAGAGAGAGCCATTTTTTGTCCAATCAGCAGGGATAAAACCGTCTTACCCAACGAAACCCCTCATTTTCTTCCTTCTTCACACTTCACAGCCCGAACGGTTCCCTTCGGCTCTCTCGCGCTTCTTCAAAAATTTTCATTTATCTTCTATTTCAACAATTATTGCTTCATTCTCCTCTCGTATGGTCGCATACCCGCAGCCGGCATAGTGGAAGCTTGCGTTGGGAGTTTGTCCAACGAGCGACGTCGGGTAAGAATCATTACTTGTTGTGTATTTTCGTTTTCCATTTCGTATTGTAGTGCTTTGCATGATTAAGTGTACGTGTAGGGTTTTGATAGTGTTTATTGTTGTTACGCAGGCCTTCAAGGAACAACATATTTCTTCCATATTTGAGAAACCCCAGCGACGAACGCCCAGATATGGTATGTAGTTCATCCCCTATTTTTTGTGTGAACTTCTCTGATTCCAATGTGCATTCACAAAATTTCGGATTGGAATCCCCCAATTTATGTCTGCTTTCTGTCACTCGTATTTTCCTTTGGCATGCATTAGTATCTATTTTGATTTTTTTTTTGGTGTTGAGGTTGAGTTATGTCACTGTCGTCCCTAATTTGTTGGTTGATTTTGATGTAAACTTTATACGATTGCTTACAGGTGGTAGGTCTGAATATTTTACTATCGAAGTGCATTATGAGGGCCAATTTTATGATAAGCCAAACAATGTGGTTTATGAAGGGGGATCCGTTCTTTTCGTCGACTTCTTTCATGCTAAATGGTGCAACAGAGAGAATTTTCGTAAATTCTTAGACGGGACTTGTGATGAAAGTGTGTTACAATTTTACTATAAGAAGCAAAAATTGAGCTTAGGGAAGGGGTTGATGAGACTAGAGAGTGAAGAGGATATTAACGGAATGCTTAGGGATAGGGATGAACGTCCAGATGTGAAAATATATGTTGTAGCCCAAAAGCAATTATATGCATTGCCGTGGAATCCTTCACATTCACAAGTTGATGAAGACCAACCATTTGAAGGTTGTTATATCCCTTCAGTTGTTGAAAACGAAGGAAATGAGCCTAAAGATAGTTGGTCAGATAAATATTTTGATGAAAATGTTGACGAGTTGTGGTCACAATACGAGCAAACCTTACAATACCAAAATGAGGTAGATACAAATGTAAGTGATTTGAATCCGGAGGAAGATCAAAATGAAGAAACAAGGGTGGAAGAAGAGGAAGTTGAAGGTTTGGTGGAATCCGATTATGAGATGGAGCCGGAGCCGGAGCCTGTAGATACTACTGAAGTAGGGAGTGAAAGAGTTCATTTTCATTTCGGATTTGGTATGTCGAATGAGCAGCCTGTTAGAAATTCAGATATCGACTACGGGGACTCCGATGATTTACAAAGCATTTATAGTGAAGAGGAAGGCACTAGAGCTTCAAGAAGGAGGGCTTCCAATGATGCTTTCAATGTGGGGACAGATATGGAGGATCTAGTGTTCAAAACAGATAACTTGAACATTATTCTTTATTTCAAATTTAAACTTGCTTATGTACTTTAGTGTCATGAGGTCTGATATGCATTGAATTTTTTTGACTATGCAGGCTTGATATTTGAGTCGAAGGCCATACTAAAGGCTGCAATCACCTCACATTCAGTTACAAAAAATAGAGAGATTAAGTTCAAAAAGGATGATGCTTGTAGATTGAGAGCCAAGTGTAAGGGAGATTGTCCGTGGGTGTTGTATGCTACAAAGGAGCATGGTAAGGAAAGTTGGGTGATCAAAACTTTTGTGGAGGAGCATACTTGTCCCATGGTATACAAGAACTTCAGGGTGACCTCATCCTAATTGGCAGATAGCTATCTAGCTGATTGGAGGGTGAGCAAAACATGTCAGTTACTGTATTTATGGAGAGGGTTAAGCGAGATGGTTTAGGTGATATCTTAGCTTGGCAGGCATATAGATCGAAGGAGAAGGCGCTCGAAAAAATTAGAGGGAGTGTGGTGGAGCATTACAAATTACTGTGGGATTATTGTGAGGAGTTAAAGAGGACAAATATTGGGACCACTGCATTGGTTGAGGGGCAGCTGGAGAATTTCGACGGTTGTATATTTGCATTGGGGCATTGAGAGATGGTTTTATTCAAGGTTGCAGAAGGGTGATTGGGGTAGATGACTGTTTTTTGAAGACAGAGCTTGGTGGCCAATTGTTGACAGCAGTTGGTGTTGATGCGAATAATGGTATGTATCCGGTGGCATATGCAGTTGTGGAGGTTGAAAATGGGGATAATTGGAAATGGTTTTTGGAGTTATTGAAGGATGATTTGCACATACATAGCAGTCAACATTGGATATTCATTTCAGATAAGCAAAAGGGATTGACAAATGCAATTGGGACATTGTTTGAGAATTCGCAGCATAGGACGTGTGTCAGACATCTATACAACAATTTCAGCGTCTGTCACAAGGGTTTAGCATTGAAGAACTATTTGTGGGATGTAGCTAGAGCCACTACTATATCACAGTGGCGTCAGCACATGCAACAGATGATGGACTTGGACCCGGCTGCTTATGGATGGCTTGAAGAAAAACCAGCTTCCCATTGGAGTAAATCCCACTTTAGAGAGTGGAATCAGTGTGACATGCTTCTCAACAACTTATGTGAATCATTTAATAGAACAATTGTGGCTGCAAGAGAGAAGCCGATCTTAACCATGGTGGAGGATATCAGGGTATATTTGATGAGGAGAATTGTGGCCTGTAGAGAGTCTTGTGATAGGTGGACAATAGCAGTTAGACCTAGAATTCAGAAGATTTTGGACAAAAATGGTAAACTTGCAAGGTTTGAGTGGGCTGAGTACGCAGGCGATGAAAAGTTCCAAGTTTGCCACAATGCCAGGATTGTGCTACATGCTGTGGATTTAAGGGCATGAACTTGTACATGCCGTGGTTGGCAATTATCAGGAATTGCATGTAGCCATGTCATTGCCTCAGTTGTATCTAGAGGCCTGAACGTGTTGGAGTTCGTGGATGACATCTATAAGAAGGATGCATACATGAGAACATATACGCCATCAATTTCTCCCATCACAGGTCCGGACGCATGGCCTACCCCAGGTTTGAACCCTCTCACTCCACCGGTATACACGAAGAGGCCTAGGAGGCCAAAGAAAAATAGAAGAAAAGAGGTGAATGAGGTGGCTTCTTCAAGTCAGCCGAAGAGGTCCAGTCAGTCCAAGAGAAATGCCAATACTTCACAATCAACTTCAGAAACAACGGAAGGTCAACGAAAAAGATCGGGGCTAATAATGACATGTACGAAGTGCGGTGAAGCAGGACGCAATAGGAGAGGCTGCAAAGGGGCACCACCTCCAGCACCTTGTTAGGATGAAGCTATCTGGGTCTGCCAAGTTCACTTATTAATTTTTTGGCTTTTGTTTTTGTTATTTAGTGCACAAATTGTCTGCATGTAGTGGATATAATATAGCACTTTGGGAACATTTTTTGGTGTTTATGTACTGGGAAAATGTAGCAAGTTCAGGAATTATGTTTCTGTCACAGTGGATATTTTGCACAGTTGAAATGAATTGTATCTATTTTTGCTTCAGTTTTTAGATATTTTTGCTTCAGCAGGTACTGGATATTTTTGTTTCAGTTTTCGATTGATTGGTGGATGAATTGTGTCTCAGATTCTGTAATAAAATTGTGTATTTAGGGACTTTTGAGCTGGTGTGTATCAACAGGTGGTATATGGAAGAAAACAAGGAATTCTCTCGCCAAATTTTTTCTAAAAGTCAGGGACGTTATTCGCAAATATTTCTAAAAAGTAGGGACGTTATTAGCAAATATTTCTAAAAGGTAGGGACTGTACTCGCAAAAATTTTTATAGGTAGGGATGTTTTAAGCCAAAATTATAACTACGTAGCGATTATTAGCGCAGGGTTCATCGATTCCGAACAGGACCCATTCATCTTCTCCAATGAGCCAAAATGGGTCATTCACCATTGAACTGATACATATAACAGATACATAAATCACAGCACCCATTTCTACTCGATCTCCTCCATTTATCCCATGGTCACAATAAGCATAAACTAGAAATAAATATCAAGTAGTCATCTCTATAAATTCACCAACCATTCAATATATTTCTTACTACATTTTTCCAGAAACCTAACATAAAAGCAGCAGTGATTGTCGGAATTAACCCGTGATCTGTTCTTTAATTAACGACATTTTTTTTCTTATTTAATGTAATAATTTAAAGTATTTTCACACCCATTTTTCAACAATTGTTATATATATGGACTACGTAGAAGGCGGGAATAAGGGATTCAATGGGTGAGACGGTTTTACCCCTGCTGACTGGATAAAAAATGACTCTCTCTCTTTAATTAACGGCAAAATGGATGGAACTTGGACGGAAGGACCTTCATCGCAACGAAAGGTTGATTTGAAGGCAAAAATGTCAAAAAATGAAATGTATGGACGTTTTCCACAATGAAACTGAAAGGTAGAGACGTTTTTTGCCAATTACCCTATATATATATTTTTATTTATTTATTTAATTTTTTTTAAAACCCCATATAGCCAGAATATTTATTAATTGATAATAAAAGCAAAGAAACCCAAAAGTTTTGGGCGGAACACAAGACATAACCTACTGACACAAAAAAAAAAAAAAAAAAAAAAAAAAAAAAAATTTAAAATTAATTGATAATAAAAGCAAAAAAACCCAAAAGTTTTGGGCGGAACAAAAAAAATAACCTACTGAAAAAAAAAAAAAAAAAAAAAAAGAAGAAGAAGAACTCTTAATCAGAAAAAAATACTGAAAAAAAAAATTGGAAAAATGGGAAAAGTCTAAATGTCCTAATTATACTATTTGTGAGATATTTCTTGGAGTTCGTGATTCCTCTTATAATCAGTGTCATGTTTTGAATTGGTATCTGTCTATATCCCACGTTTACTAGTTAGTTCCATGACTGAGTATCCCATTTGAGGTCTATGTCCAGATAGCCTGCTTGTTTCATTTTGCAAAGCCAACTTTTGCTTGGGGTTAGAATTGTATTATAATTTAGGGTATTGAGCTTAATTAGTTAAAGGAAAAAGATAAAAAAAAGTTATCCGATTCTCTCCTGCATGGACTCTGACTTTTACATTTTCGTAATCTAATCAGGAGAAAGCCTTCTTTTTTTTTCCTTTTTTTTCAAGTGCCAAAATTCATATGCTTATTCCTTGTATTATATGTATTTTTTATAGAGTTTATTGCAAGTATTGATGGATCGAGCTCTTATCCTTCTAAGCACTTTAATGCAACTGTAGGGACATCGTGTACAATAATACTGATGAGCCATTTGGAGGCTCTGTGAATTAAATGTATTTTTATTTATTTTTTTATTTTTGATTGTTCAAACGTAAAATGACTAGCATGGCTAGATATAAAGGTAACTTTGAACTCAGTTCGAATTAAAGACAATAAAGACATCATGTACGAGTCAAAGAAAAAAAAATCGTAATCTCTTCTTAACATGAACCATATATGTACCAAGAGCAAACAAATCTTAATCTTGTGCTCAACGACTTAAGACACACTCCACAATACGAGGCTTCTTTCAACTGGGTCAACGTGTAGGGTCGTATAAAGTGAGGAGTTAAATCATGTATAGAACATCTATTTGATATTTCTTTTGCGAAGTAATTGTTAAAGTATTTAACCTTAGTTTATTACTTTATATATATAGAATTAAAAAAAAATTAATTTACACGATTTAAAGATTTCAAGTACAACATTTTTAACTTATGACACGTCTCATTTCTTTATCACACACTTATATTCTTTGCAATTTATTTATTTATTTATATATTTTTGTTTTAAAAACAAATTTTATTTTATGTGTCTGTCTCGTAATTATCCGCTTGTTAAGCTAGCACTTTGATTGTTGAATCGATAACCTGGTTTTATGATCGAGCCAATGAGCAGTCTGAGTAAACAAGCAAGACCTCAACTTGGATCCAAACCCTGGGTGTATCCTGACCCATCCCGAATTTAAAGATCCATTATAGACCATCTAAAGTTAGGCCCATATTTTCCAGTTCGACCCACTTGCAGCCATAAATAAAGGATACGAATTAAGGCATGTTTGTCCCCCTTTAATTTCAGAAAGTGTATTATGAAATAGTGATTAATATTGAAATGTATAGTTAAAAAAGAAATTTATTTATTTATGTGTAATATTATTTTAATAAAAAATATGTAGTTAAAAATGAGTACTGTAGAAAAAATAATATGGTAGAATGTGGTATAATGATTGACAAATAAATGCTTATTCTTTTTCATTGTCTGATTTAAAGATGTAGTCCTCTTTAATGACGTAATCTTTAATGACGTAAATTCTTAGATCAAGTGGTCCAAAAAATTGTTGAACATTACATTGGAAAAGATTATGCATGGTAATTGATTTTTTTGTTTTTTTTTTTTTGCTATTTATTTTTATTCTTTAATCTTGTTTTATGTACCTAAAATTATTTCGCAGTCAATAGTAACTAGGTTTCTTCGAAGTTTCCTTCCTGTGTTTCTCCTGGCCTACCACACCCAAATAATTGACACATCAATGTTTTAATCAATCACATAACACAACTTTTTCAAACAAAATCCAATTAAAAAAAGAAAAAAAAATCAACTTTTGGCAAGAATTTGTTGTCCCATCATTTTTTTCCTCCTATCTTTATGTTTCTTGTCGTTTATCGGAGTGCTTTTATTTTTGACAAAACCCAAAACCAGCATAAATAAAATAAAACTAATATAGACAATACAGCATTATTGAGTAGCTGGTCCACTACCATATTTTTGCCATAATTATTCACGAGCGATATATTCTACTCTTCCTATCTAGAAACTTTCCTAATTAAGCTACTTGGTTTGAAGTGATGATTAAAAAATATACAATAAAGTCACTTGTCCAGGATTAAAAATAAGAGAGTAAAGAGATAAGCTAATGTGTTAGAAAATTATTGGATATTTCTGTTTTAATTTTTCAAATTGTCCAATCATGAATCAGCATGTGTCCCATATGGATTTGAGTCTGAATTTGAATTTGAATGTTTAGCATGATTCAAAAATATGTATACTTTACAAATAAAAAGCTTGTTATATTTTCTACCAAATAAGCAGGAAAATAGAGAAATATTTTACAAATTTGAATCCTTAAATATTTATGACTTGTTTCTAAATCCAACACGTTCTTATGCACTTTGGTAGACCGTTTTATACTTTAGACAATAAAAATCTCAATAAGTTATTTAATGAGGAAAATACTCAAATTATTTTTATCCAATTAGTTTATCCCTCCATATCCAACTCGTACTGAATTAGCCCTTCCTCTGGGAGGTGTTGTAATTGAAGGGATTAGTAATAGGGAAAACATTGTAAAAGTTTACTTATGAGTAAAAAAATAGTACTTATCTTTAAAAAATTTACTTATAGCAAAAAATCAGACAAAAAATTGTTTTTGTAAAAAAAAATTTATAACTAAAAAAAAAAATTACTATTTATACCTAAAAAAAATTCATTTATAGGTAGAAAAATCACAACTAAACATTTATTAATAGATAAAAATCATTTATAAGATAAAATTTGCTTATTAGTATAAAAATTCACTAATAAGTATTATACTAAAAACTTTACTTATATGTACATTTTTTTATTTATGAGTAAAGAAAATCACATATAAGTTAAAATCTCATTTATATATAGAAGAATTTTATTGGTTGTGCAACCGAGATCGACAATCCCGATTGACAATCTCCTCAAAGGAGGGGGCCCAAGATTTTTTTAATCATCATGGGCCTTCTTCCATGTGTATGGTTGTCAATCGTGGTTATCAAACTCGATTGTATATGCAACATGGATGATATATAAAATTATCTGTGTAAAAATTCCATTATAAGTTAAGATTTACTTGTAAATAATGAATTACATATAAGTTAAAAATTCATTTTTATGTAAAAAACTTATATATAAAATTCACTTATAAGTTAAAAATGTACATATAAGTGAAATATTTTTTGAATAAAAATTATCTTCGAGGTTAAAAATCATCATACGTAATCAAAGTACTTATAGAGTTATAGTATAAAATCAGCTATAAGTTCAAAAATATTGCATAACTAAAAAAATTGTCATAGTATTTTTTTTTTTTATTACATGCATGGTCTTATAATATTGGGTGGCACCAAACATCGTGCTAGAATAGTACACACAATCCGTGAGGAATCAAATTTAAAAAAGATAGTATGTATGATATAACAGTTTGAACACATAGGCTCGAGTCGTCATAGCTTTCTATCGTGTCTCCTAATATTTAAACCAATACTTCTGCTTTATGAAAGACATATCGCAAAACGAATAGTATGTATGATATAACTACTTATTTAAAGAGGTTTGATCATTAAATTTCTAATACTGTCTAAAGAATAATGCTATGTTGCCCTATATGATTGCAACCTTAGTCTAAATGCACTAAATGATAGGTTAAATGAAATGAGAAATTAAATGAGTTATTTAATTCTAACTATCAATTAATAACACATTAACGCCACCTATACTGAGGTTACAATTTAAGCGGGGCTAAATAGCATTACTCTTGTCAAAAAGATGAGTCATTCTCGTGCATTGTTTCTTTTAGAATTCTATAATCGTGATAAATAGATTCATTAACTATTTTCAATCATTTGCAATAAATATAATTCCATTAAAAAAACACAATTATTGATTAATGTCCAAATAATACGT